TGGATTAGGACAAACAATACTAATATGGATTGATGGGGGTAAATGGTATAAAGAGAAAGTTTGTGCTAACTACATTCAGAAGAGCTCAGATGGACCTGATACAGCGGTCCAGATCCAGTCCCAGCTAAACGTAGCTAGGACTGGATCTGGATGCTCCACAGTTGGTCCAGCTTCAAAGACGAAGTGTTTTGAACAAATATGAGTCCTTTTAACATTTTCATGAGAGAAATTCTGTCGATCACAAGCACGAACCCACCTCTTGCACTTGTCCTGGTCTGGTCCTGGTCTGATCTGGTCCTGTTCTGGTCCGATGGTGTGGTTTAACGAACGGGTTGAATGTTACTTTGATAGTCCTTTTCAGAGTATCTGAAATCGCTCCGACAAGCACCATAACTGCAGTGTTTTGTTGTCACCATGATTCAATGATTTAGCCCAAGTAAATACACACGCGTATGTGGAGAACACAGTAGTACTCAACGGAGTCGTACAATGTTTGTCCAAAACATGCGCACATGCGCAGTCATCTGAGCTATTTTTAGCACATTTCGGAAACCGGACAGTGCCCTATGGTGGGCTGCCCAAGTCTATGTAAACATAAACATAGAATGTTTATTGTTCATTTATCTTGTGCTGTGTCCTCCTCATTCCCACTGTTCTGTAACCCATGATGCAACACTGACATTTCCTCCCTGTGGGACAAATAAACTCACTTCCTTCTCTCTATGGAATGAGAGACAAATGCACTCAACAATTGCAAAGCGCTTTATGACTCTGGTCTGTAAAAGGCGTTATAGAATAAAGATTACTTACTCACTTAAGTTTATCTTCTAAAATGTAAATGCCTGCCACACTTTATAATAATTTATGATCAGTTCAAAAATATGACACGGCAAAGTAAAACTACTCTAAATCACATTTAGGGCTAACATTAGTAGAAACATTTTAACACACATTAGCTTATTTATTTATTAAGTTTTGGACCTGCCAACCATACGATACATTGCTCTGTTCATTTAAACCTTTTTATTTATTTAAAACTTCATGAGATTGCTTTGTAATAATCTCCTTTGCCCTCTAATTGATTTCATTTGAAAGATTAAACATTCACAAACCCATGAAAACTATTTTGAATGATTGTGTCCATAGCACTGGACGAGCAAAGACTTAATGACATTACTGTTTGCAATTTAGTTCATTGAGTTCTCTCCCCTGCAGATGTGGAGCCAGCTGTTTGGAGGACCTCTGCAGTCTTCAAATGAAACGGGAAACAGGGTTCAGGAAACAGTTGGATCTGACAGAACAGGTGGTGAGCGGCAACACGAGATCGGCCGACTCCAGGGAGAAAGAAGAGGAGAAGAAACCACAAAGAACACACACACATTGATCCAGAGAAGGAGACGAGTCTGTGGTCAGCCATGTTTAATTAACAAACAGTAAAGCTGGGGTACCTAATTTACAAACCACAAAAATAATTACAATTTATATTATCACATGGTCTTTAGTTGATTTTTCTTAGCTTGAAATGTGAACGATTAAGGACCACTCTTTCTCAGCAGAGTCTCAATTGAAAGCATCAGATAGAGTCACAAAAGAACTCTAAAAAGTGAATTGAAATGAGAAAAGAAGAAGTTTAGCATTTCGGAAACATCACACTTATTATTTTAAAGCAAGCGTGTGCAAGAACAGCATATTTCTTGTACATTGGTTTTAGGTAATATTCTAATAATAAATATATATACAGTATATTGTTTAAAAATAAATGGATATATTTTATTTTTGGCCCTTAGAAATGATAATGAGACCTTGTAAGTAGGCATTTTCTGTTTTAGGATGTGAAATAAAGCATTCAAAAACGTAAGTAGTCATCAGTACAATTTTCCACTTCTACCACCAGACGTCAAATACAGAATCGGATTTGACGTCTGGCTGCAAACCCAGCCGTGCAGTCAAGAATGCAATTTCACCTACTTTGGCGGGAATAAACTAGCAAAACTATATTTAGAGGCCTTTCTTTTACTAAACAGCTCTGAACATGTAATAGTGTGAGATAAATACAGACAAAATATCATAATTGCGTTCTAAACATCAAACCGAATAATCAAAAAACTAATCGTTACCACAAGTTTACAGCCATACTTGGTATACTATACTCCACACTCCTAAATCTGCAATTTACTCCTGATTAATTACAACTCCTCCTCGTACCTTTACATAAATAATGAGCTCCTAATGGACTCATCAATGTTTCTCACCAATGCAGAAGAAATAGTGGCCTCTCTGATACACAGAAGTGGCATGGCAAAGTGTCAAAATACATTTAATAAGCAGCACATTATGCAATGTATTGGATTCACCACATCCCTATAAAAAGCAGCAGACTTAATCATTGCCGTGATTAATCCTTTCCCATTCACTGTGAGATAAAGCGATTTATTCCGATGTGAGCTGCAATCCTTGGTCGCCTAATTTTAGAACTCACAGTGTGTCTGTACAAATTGCCTGTGTGAATGCTATCGAGGGTAATTATATAACCCTCTGAATTCACAGTTGAGATGAAAAGAATAATTATATGAGTTCACATCTCAAATATTAGTTCCATAAATGGATTTGCACCTGAATAATTAAGTGTAAGAACATGTAGACATATTTGAAGTTGATAAGAGGAGCGGACATCCTTCAGCGACACTTTTGTTCCAACCATAGACCATATATTAGGTCCATGAGTCCCCCATGGTCCATGTGGAAGAAACCAATTTGTGAACATGCTAGCTGGAGCCAATGTCCTTAGCTGGGCATTTGTTCCATTGGAGTTAGATTGCACCGTAACAGGAGCAGACGTGTTGCTAGGATGGTTGCTAAGGAATCTGATTGGTCAATCCTTAAGGCTCATATTTGGATTTACAAAGACAATGTCAAAATAGAAACCCCAGGATCACAGAGAACTGAAGCATAGTTTTTTTAAGCCCCTAATGTACTGAACTAAAAGAGTTTACTTTTCATAGAAAGTCAATAGGAGCCAGACCAAGTTGGAGCACTGTGTTAGCATTGTTCATCTATCACACACTCCAACCATCGGCTGAGCGAGAGTGGTCCTCTTTTTTCACTTTTCTGATTAAAAAACTGATGGAAACTTGAATAAAACTATTTTAAGAGCAGAGATCTAGTTTTAAAGTTAAGTATCTCAGCTTTGACATGCATTATATTGCTTACATTGGATGAATACATTTAGTATGAATGTAAATGTTACCCTTTTGAGCAGTCACATTTTTGGTAGAGCAATTCTTTGCAAAAAAGTTCCACAACCCATTTCACCCCGCCATTTCAAAGTCTTTCACATTAGAGCAGATTTGATAGTGCCCTTCTTGCCACAGTCTGCCAAAGCCAACATAATCAGTATCCTACTCATGAGCATAAGAAGAACATTGACAAAATAACCAATACAACGCATCCTCAATTTAGCAGTTTTTCAATTATTTTCTAAAGCCAAAGCATATTGGGTTAGTCTTAATTTGTCAATGTTATGTGATAAAATGGAGCTCTCCTGCTGTTTAATTTCATCGGTCTGTGAAACACATTGGTCCACTTAATTGCCTTCAAACAGAGGATGGACCAGAGCCAAACCCGGGCTGCAGCTGCCAGGAGGTCGCATCCCCAATGGGCTCTCCAAACTGGGCCTTTTTAATCTTCTTTGTGATTAAAAACTATCTGAACTCACACAAAACCACTCATATTTTTGGGGAAGATCGCTTGGGGAATTGCTTTATTGAAAACTTTTAGTGGGTAGCTCATAAATTAGCAAATAGAATTATCTAGACTAGCGCACCTCTGTAGCATTAAGGGAGTCTGGAGATGCCAAAGCAACTTAATGGATTTAAATAGCCCATAATAGATCCGAAGACTTAGTGCTACTACTTTAGATCATTTCCTAATTATCTCCCAAAACTTAAGTGCAATTTGCATTAATCTGGCTGAGTTTAAAGTGGGAATTACTCTTTTTTTTTTCCAAACAGAACTGCAGGAAGTTGAGAATCAATGAAGTTGATTGTCATTATTCATTGAACAATATTAATACATTAATTTCATAAAGAAAAGTAAGTAAGTAAGTAGTCTTTATTTATAAAGCGCTTTACAACTGAGGGCATTTGTCTCTCACTCCACACAGAAACCGGAGCAGACACAGGGAGAACAAACAAACTCCACTCAGAAAGGCTCTGTCCCTCCGACCGGGTTTCGAATCCTGGACCTTCTTGCTGGGAAGCGAGAGTGTTATCCACTCAGCCACCAAAAAACAAGTGTTAAAGAAATCTATTCACTTCTGTAATTCAACTTACTATGCAAAACTAATATATGGCAGATTATCCATCCATTTTCTTCCCTTTAATCCATTTCTGGGTTGGGGGGTGGCAGTCAGAGACAAGTATACAGTGTCTGACTTTAGCGTTATGAAGAAGCAAAGAAGCATAATACATAAGCAAGTCTAAAAGTCTGAAATACTAAACATTTACTAAATAGTTATTTACTCTGTCTACAGTGGGAATCCCATCTCATAGAACGACTAAACACACAGCAAAAAAAACATCACATTTGCATTGCATAGCCGTAATTAACATGATTAATAGTGTAATTAAGTAATAATTTGTTAATATCCAACCATTATCACACCTGCTTTATAACACATGTGCCCTATACCTTTCCCTTCCACCACAACTAGGCCATTACACAACAGCGTCAGTGCACCTGTTGGCCGATTCATTTTTCATCCGGCGTGCTTTAGCTGCTGATGTTGCATTTCCCTTCACATGCATCTCTGCGTGTTCTCAACGCTGTTCTAATGGCAACAAGCTTAATAACCCCGGCTCAGCTCTTGTGTATCTCCCCCTCCGCACGCCACCAATGTCATAGTAAATCATGGACAGGTTGCATACGGGTCTACTTAACCACTTCTGTCCCCGCAAACTGTGGTCTATTTATGCTGGCATGTACAAGCGCCCGATACCACGTTAGCACTTCTGGGACTCATTATTCAGCGGCTGCCTGGAAGTCTCCCATCGGGACGGGACAGGCGGGCAGGTCGCTGAGCCGAGTTGACACCAGCAGGAGCGGTAAACAGGTAACAAGGCACGGAACGTCACATGCTGGGGAAACGGAGATGGATACAGAGAAAGAGATGGTTATTTAGTGTCGTTCAGGTGCTTATACAAAAAGTTTTTTTCATTAATAACGCATGTTGTTTTGAAAGTCTTGTTGGCTCACAACATGCTGTCTTGGTCTATGAGAAAACATCTTTTTGTAAAAGGGCTGTGTGAGTCACTCTTTCAATTTTCTGTCAAAAAAGGAGATCTGGAGATGTGATAAGAGGCAAAAGAATAGTGATATAATCAAACAGTTTTATAAAGTAAGAAAGAATTCTATATTCATATAGTGCATTTATACAGACCAAGGTCACCCAAAGCCCTTTACAATGTTCAGAGTTCAGATATTGTTCCATTCACACCTCACACAATGATGACGGAAGCAAGACGTCAAAGCCCCAACCAACACCATCCATTCACTCACTCGTTACATTCATAACTATTGTACATGTTCATAGTGGTAGGAGAAACCAAAGCACCAAGAGGAGACTTACGCAGACACAGGGAGAACATGCAAACTCCACTATAAAAGGCCCTGTTACAAACGGGATTTGAAGTGCCGGATAGCATAAAGGATAGCATAGAACCATGAACTATCTTGAAAGACAGATTACCCAGTTTCAATACAAGAACAATAAAAATCATTAAAGCCGCAAGCGGCGTCGAACAGCCCTCGCTGCACATCGCAACTGAGGTGGCGCTGACGCGCCATTTTCCTACAGCCCTGATGGGAGCGACACTGCATTTTGAAATCCTATGATCAGTGATTGTGAGTCTCTATTGAAAAGGTAAACCTCATTCTCCCCATGTGACACTGGACTCAGTCTCAGGTGGCACTGATGCTACAATTTCATGATTCACACTCTCAGTTTACTCAAACCTGAGTACAATCAATTTAAAATTTGTGCAAATCGGACTTTGTATGTGCAAATGGTGGCATTTTTGTTGTACAATAGCGCCCCCTACAATTTCAAATTTTTGTCTTGTACCAAAGAACACCAAAATAATTAATTTTATGCAAGAACAAAACAACAGAAAAACTGAATACCTCTATACCCATGTAAAATTTGTACTCAGTCTGTAGGGGGCGCTAATGGGCCAATTTAATGTTTCACACATTCAGGTGACCTAAGCCCAGGAGTTAAACAACCGAGTCAAGTTTAGTGAAAATCAGACTTTGTATGTGTAAACCACAGACTGTATATATTAACGGACAGAGTCACGCCTATCTCCGCCGTTCTAACTAATGGACCAAAAAATGTGCTCTACTGGAACTATCCAAAATGGCCGCGAGTGGTCCCGCCCACAGGAAAATTGTGAAAAAACGCATCTGCGCATGCGTCAGCCGGCGCAGCTCCATTCATTTGAACGAGAGACTTCAAAAATTCACAGCAAGTAAACTAGAGTGGACCAAAAAAATTCACCCCCCTCAGCATTGACACACATGTGGAACGGAGCTTTGGGCCAAGAGCCAACTTTTGGTCCATCCTGTAAAGACGTTTTTGAGAGGTCTGCCAACGCTATATGTTAGCATTGGCTAATTTTCTTTTGAGCTGGGACCCGCCCCCACTGGTGTAAACAGGAGCACCCGTCACTACGGCTTGGAGGATTTAGTGCACATTTTATACAAATATACCCAGCATTCATGCTCTATCAGACACAAACATATACACACATGCATGTGAACCCACTCCGGCACACACACACACACACATACCTGTTTGAAAAACAATGTAAATATGAAAATGTAATTGGGGTAAACTCCCACAAGTATTATACTCAGTGGGGGCTTGCAATATCACCCCGGGCCGATGGGGGTGGACCCGGAATAAGAATTAGCCAATGCTAACAAATAGCATCTTCTTACCTCTCGAAAACGTCTTTACAGGATGGTCCAAAAGCTGGCTCTTGGCCCAAAGCTCCGTTCCACATGTGTGTCAATGCTGAGGTGGGTGAATTTTTTTGGACCACTCTAGTTTACTTGCTGTTAATTTTTGAAGTCACTCGATGAAATGAATGGGGCTCATGCGCAGATGCGTTTTTTTCACATTTTCCAGCCTCCGCGGCCATTTTTAATCACTCCTTTTCACTCAAATCACTCAAATTTTTGGTCCATTAGTTAGAACGGCGGAGATAGGCGTGACTACGTCCGTTAATATATACAGTCTATGATTATGCTTCGGCTTACTCCCTTTGAGCTGTGTCTATTTATTCTTGAAATGTTTCCTTTTGGAATTTTTGTTTATGTTTTAATGTTTTGTATGACCTGCTCAAATAAATGTATATCAATCAATCAATCACTCCAGAAGCTCGGGCAAAACACCCAGACAGGGAGTAACAGAAAAACTCCACAGGGCTATACCTCCAGCCTCCGTGCCGCAGCTGTTGTAATGAAAAAAAGGACAAACCATGGTCTATGACTCTGTGATAATTTCCTCCTTTTTCCAGCAACAGTGCAAGCACATGTTATAGACACACGTCCATCCGTCTATGCCCGAGGGGACATACATATAGTATGATTTGCAGGGTTTAATATTTTAATTCAATTTGTTTCAGGGCCGTGAAATTAATGAACAAAACAGTTTTTTTGCTGATAAACGGTATAAATTAGGTATAAATATCCTGGTCATAATTTTGTCACTTTGGTGCAAAGTAGTTGAAAGCTCAACTTTCTGCCTAAAACCGTCTGAGGCGCCATCTGCAGGCGACCTTTATTACTGCATTTGAATTTTGAATCTGGCGCCATCATTGGTGCAGCAGAAGCCGAAGTGGCTCGTTAGTGGCCGCTCGTTCACGCCCCGTAGCGAGTTGGAGAAGGAAAAACAGCGAGTATTTTCATTGATTGTCAGGTTTGCGATTAGTCATAGCATTTAGGTTGATTTTTATTAGCATAGCTGTTTTTATTATTGATAATTGTGTAGTGTTAATGCCGTTGTTGTGGAATATTGTAGTTTTAGTCAAGTGTCAATCACAGCCTAGACCTGCCCAACATTCACCTGTCCCCTGTAGTCCTCCAGGCTACGCCCATTTGGAGGAAGATTTTAACAGGAAATGTGACTGACGTAAGCCTCGAGGAGCAGGGGTGAGAAGTTCTTTAAGCATAATTCCTGGATTATAATGCCTGTAATGTTTATATATATATATATATATATATGCTTCTACGGCATTGGACGAAAACCAAAACAACGTATTGGACACGAAAAAACAAAATTGGCCATTGTGTATTTCGTGATGGAGAATGGCATATAGGCCTGCAGGGCTTCACACTATTTCATCAGCCTGCAGAATCACCGTTGTACTGGGAGTAGCTGGAAGGGACAATAGCCCAATGCATATCAATACGTCATGTTGGTTCAGCAGCAAAAGGGCACCGGACTGCAAATACTGCGACATTTACAGAGAGGTGACAACATCTCAATTTTGCACAATAGTGTTGTTTGGAAAGAGCCTTACTGTATTAAAATGTATGAGACAAAATGTGTTTGGTATTGTGTTTTTCTATATACACCTTCGCAACATGATCATTTGCATAGTTATGGAGGGGAGAATAAAAGTTACTAGAACTAACGTGAGGCTGACACATACATCCAAACTTGAGTAGCGTGCAAAAAGTGGAAAAGAGCAGATGAAAAAATGTAGATTACTCTGCACAGCTTGAGTTCTCAAGGATTATTCTATTTGCACCACAAGATGTGAAGTTTCTAGCAAAAAGTCTTTTTCCTGGTTTCTTTAAGTCTGATGAAGGACAGTTTTTACCTGAAACGTCACATCTTGTAAAGCAAATTAGATAATTCCTTGGGAGCTCAAGCAGTGCAGATTCATCTCAAACCAAAAGAATTCTGAGAAATATAAGTGATTCTCAAGGATTTTACCTTCACTCACTTTAAATGAGTGCAAACAACTGGTAAATATAACTGGGATACAGCAAAAAAACTGTTTGTTGAAAAGTTACCAAATTCTGCTGATAGTAAACAGTGTGTTGCTATGGCAACTAGCACTCGCTCTGTTCTGTTGGGAAAAAACGCACTCCAGCATTTACTTACAGTACTTACTTATATTTTCACAAAAATAAAGACACAGAAATATACTAGATATACAGTAGATACAGAAGGAGTCACAAAGTTATGAAGACCACATATGTACATTCACCCAGTAATGATGCTTTCAAAACTAAAAGCCGTCAAATTGAGTTCTAGTGTTTACAACCACTAATTTATCCAGTTAATTATAGTCCACACATGCTTGAATGCCAGTTGGATTTGTTCAATAACTTGATATGAATCCAGATAATAGGTTGCAAATGAATGAAAAAGAACCCTCAAATGACCATGATTTTCAACACATAAGCGAGGACCGGGGGAGCCCTCGTGCCCAGACGGGACAGCACCTGCGGGTTATACTCTTGACAACTGGAACAAGTGGAAGCCCCTTTGCCTGTCAGCCCTGTCTATTGAAGATTCGGAAGACGTATATATCTTTGGAATTCTGGTGGTGGGGATCCTCCTTTTCGGGTTTGGAGCGGTCCTTGTCTACCGCAAATTTGGAGGGATGGCAGCTCATAAGATTCACGACCTGCTGTCCAACAAAATTGATGGGATGTACAAGGAGTTGAGCCGTGTCATGGTTGAGAGCGCCGTGACTGTACAGAGGAGAGTTGTGCTAGTGGAGCAGTTGCTTAAAGACCTCGCAACACGCTCGCTCGAAGGACACAAGACACTAGAGATGCGGCTGAATGACATTGTCTGCCAGGCTTGAGCTCTCTGACCCGGCATGGATAAGCCCCTGTGTACGGAGGTTCTGAGGGCGCCGCAATTCGGCTTCATTGGAATGATAGTATATCTGCCTTGCTTTTGACATTGCATATAAATTATCCCTCTCAAGGCGATGTGTTTTCCCTTTTACTGTGGCGTTCTCTACTCTTATCTCACATTCCTACTGGCCAAGGCCAATGATAACCAGGTCCATTCTACAACAAAACTTCACTTGCAGCTCCAGCCCGGATC